GCACCCTTTCACCTTACTTTTTGTGTCCGTGCCTCTGTCTCTCCCATCTCTTGCAACATATACCACCTGGGACCTGGTTACATTGGGGGCCTGGTGAACCCCCGATAGTTATATATATTGTTTCTGCCCCACCTGAGTCAAAGCTTCAATCCTGTCCATTCCCCAGACAGTGCACACTGCACCCATCCCATTTCTCTTCCCTCCCCCCTCCCATCTGCCTGGAAACCCCATGAATGTTATAACTATATGTGCACTTAAGTGTTGATCAGTTAATACCAATTTGCTGGTGAGTACATGTGGTGCTTGTTTTTCCATTCTTATAATACTTCACTAAGTAGAATGGGCTCCAGCTCTATAAGACTTCTGCACTAGAATATTTATAGCAGCACAATTCACAATTGCAAAGATGTGGAAACAACCCAAGTACCCATCAATACATGAGTGGATTAATAAAATGTGGTATATGTGTACCATGGAGTTTTAATCAGCCACAAAAAACAATGGTGATCAGTGTGGTTACTTTTCATTGATCACTAAATATTGTGTATGAAACATTGTACAAATAATTTGATGCCTGGCTATCATTCTTTTAGAGAGAAATTACTTTGCTTCTTGTAGGCAGGTGAGGGCATGAGTATTCTCTAATCACCTCCAATCACCTAAATCCATTTTTAGTGACTTAAAGCTAATTGTTCTGGAATTGTCAGTCTACTTCTGGTTTACCCTTCTAGGATGTAGGAATCCAATTCAACTTTAAGTGAAATAATAGTAATTTAACATTAAGCTATATTTTTGATCAAAATAATTATATTTGTTTGTTAATACAATATAATGCTAATTTATTAATTTTTTCTTCAAGAAAAGACCTTAATATTTGCATAAGAATTAGAAAGAGATGCTTTTTTGGTAAAAATAGTTTACACTGTTTATTCAAGAAAATTAATTTTCAAAAAATATTATATATGTTGTGTTAATGTATTTGTTTAAAAAATCTTTTATGAATCCAAAGCTTTCATCAGAATCTCAAAAGGTTCATTAGCCCAGAAGAGTTTAATCATTATTTATCCTAGACTGATTTTAACTTCCCAATGCTTCAATTCCTCTACCTACTACCCTTAGCTTGATAAAAGCTAAGGAAAAACAAAATCATTTAGGGTTACACAAATGAGTTGTCCCACTTCTAGTAATGGTGAACTGACTTGCTGTAGACAAACTGTTGTGTGAAGAACAACTAGCAGGACAAAGATGGTTTCAAGACATTGGGGTGGAGGCCGGGTGCAGTGGCTCACATCTGTAATCCTAGCACTCTGGGAGGCCAAGGAGGGCGGATTGCTCGAGGTCAGGAGTTCGAATCCAGACTGAGCAAGAGCAAGACCCTGTCTCTACTATAAATAGAAAGAATTAATTGGCCAACTAAAAATATATAGAAAAAATTAGCCGGGCATGGTGGCGCATGCCTGTAGTCCCAGCTACTCGGGAGGCTGAGGCAGAAGGATCGCTTGAGCCCAGGAGTTTGAGGTTGCTGTGAGCTAGGCTGATGCCACGGCACTCACTCTAGCCTGGGCAACAAAGTGAGACTCTGTCTCAAAAAAAAAAAAAGACATTGGGGTGGTATTATGGCACTGAGGACCTGAGGTATGTGAGGGCAAAGACAATAACCAGTGTGGATCCATGAACAATAATCAGCCGCTTTTTCCTCCCTCAATTTCTGGCATTTAGGTAATATTTAGAATCTCAGTGGAATCCCAGGGACAGAGCATAGTTCCAGGAATGACTTTCTTGCCAGCCAGTGGTACTAGGAACCAACAACAATAATCTAATAAATTGAAAATATGAGGTGCTGTGTATCTTGTATATCTGATCTAGATACTGAGAATATTTTATGCAGATTTTTGTGAGTTTATCGCTAGAGGCAGTGTTTTTGCCACCAACAATTGATTTCATTGTTTTTATCTAAATTTGGAAACGGGAGATTCAAATTCTGTCTACTTAGTTCAATCATGGACACTAATTTACAGAAGAACAACCCAGCGCTGCTTTTGGAAAGGAATTTAGTTCACATTGCTAATTCACCTTTCATGTCTCTTTTAAAAGAGATCAAGCAAAAATAGAACAACATTCACTTTATCTCAGTCTACTAGTATATGCTTTCATTTTCAATTCCTGTTAGTTATTATCTTCTCTATTGCATTACTCCCAAGACAGGCTCAAATAATTTATAAATCGACAAATCTGACCTAAGCTTACTTCTGATTTTCCATTTTCCCTATTGATTTTTATTTTGTTGTATATTATATTTTATATTGGCATTTCTCTTCTTTTTGCCTTTGCTCCTACAGTCTCAGCACTCTTTATTTAAAGGCATTGGCAATATAATCTAGAAATTTATACAGGACAAAAGAATGGAAAGAAGCAAAGAGAATGGAGCACAGAGTTGCTAAGGGTCAAGACCAGAAAGTTGATTAGGGCAGCATCGATAGGAGATATAGAGGAAGCAAAGAGGTCTTTAAATTGCTTCACATCTATATAGCTAAGAAGAATGTTCTCTTTTCATGGACCATCAAGTGACTTGATTGTTGGGTTTGCGTTTCTTTATCTCTGAGGGGAACTGGAAACAGAGGATGATATCTTATAACCACTTCTCTCTTCTCCCCTTACAATCTATTGCATCTTAAACCAACCATGTCAGAAATTTTCTGGGTCCTCATCCTGTTTCTCAATGTCTATTTCATCATTAGCTATAGTTGTAACGATCCTGTCACTTAAAAATCCCGTTTGGGTCAACCCCATTGTTTGGAGTTTTTATGGAGGCTCCATTACACAGGCTTGTTTGATTAAATCATTGGCCATTGGTGATTGAACTCAATCTCCAGCCCCTTGTTCTCCTGGGGTGGGTTGGGGGGCTGGAAGTTCCAACCTTCTCATCACATGGTTGGTTCTTCTGGCAACCAGCCCCCATACTGAAGCTATCTAGGGGACCATCAAGAGTCACTTTATTAGTATAAACCCACAGGCATGGTTGAAAGGGGCTTATTATGAATAACAAATGATGTTCCTTCTATATTGCTCTGAAACTATTTCAGGAACTGAGGACAAAAACCAAATAGGTATCAAAAGATACTCCTTGCTTCTTTATAGCTCTGGAGACAGTTCAGAATCTGGGAATAAGAGCCAACTAGTATAACAAAAGATGCTCCTATCACCCTCATCACCCAGGAATTTTTAAGGCTTCAGAAGCTCTGTGTAGGATGAAAACTAAATACACATATTGCTCATAGTATCACAACATCACAAGTTCCATATTCATATACCCGTAGTAGATTTTCTTGTGGAAAATCTACTTGAGTCTACTAAGCATTTTGTGGAGATGTTTGTGACATTAATAGAAGGCATGGTCTACGTTTTAGAGACTATGTGAGTGAAAGGATCTACAAACTCTGAGTAATGACATGGAAGGGAACCAAAATATCAGTCTCTAAAGTACTGGGGATTGGTGGGCTGAAGAAGGTTAGAACACAGGGGAACACTCTGCCCCTCCCCCCTCATGGCAGGGCAGCTATGTGCAAAGACCAAGGTCTTCCTGCAGCCCTCTCTGACGTTCCCATGTAAAGCTAGGCCCTTCCCTAGGCTTTCCTCTCAGCTCACAGACAGCGCCAGCGCCAGAGGACCTAGGAGCAGACTTTACTCTTCCTAGAAATTTACTTTCCCACATTTTCCCTCCTTTTGGAATTCTGAAGATATTCTCTTCTTTGTCTTCTGGCCTAAAGGAAGAAGCTGAGGCCACATTAATATAGAGAGTTTATTTGGGCCAAGATTGAAGACAGCTGCTTGGGAGCACAGTTAGAAGTTGCCTTGGGAAGTGCTCTGGCTAACAAAGGGGAGGCTCAAGTTTTAGAAAGAAGGACAAATCAGGAGAGGGGTTGGCTCCAAAAGTTGTCTGGCAGGAATTCCCGTCAGTGTACAGAAATAACATTGGTTAATGATTGGCTATCCATTGTTGAACGACAGGGTGTATGGCATGTTGTGGCTACTTGGTGTCAGTCTACAGGCTGCATGGCAAGGGGCTTCAAGAGGTGATCATTTAGCTCAAGGAGGAGAGTTGATGTGACTCCTGTTACATTTTAAAGGGGCTCGCATTTGTCAGATTAAAAGTTTTTAAAATTTCTTATCACTATATAATATTTATAGATCTTTGTTAAAATATTATTTAAGCAAGGCCTCTAAGCCACTGCCTTGAGAGACAGAGAGATACTTTTGAACTGAGTGCTCGAGTGATGGGCACAGCATGTATGAATAAACTTCTGCTGACTAATCTGACTTTTGCTTTCAGGAGACTGTCTCAACTAAGAACCTATGAGGAAAAGAAAAATATTATATTTTCTACTTATAGCATAGAATCCATGAAGCCTGCTTCTGATTTTATACCACTCAGCTCCCTTTACCTAATCAGGGTGATGAGAAAACATTACTAACCTCCGGTCAATATTAGTCTTGATGCAACAATAGCAATGTTTCCCCAACTTTGTAGATAGTTTCTGGAATGTTCCATTGTACAATTACATTCTTGAACAATGTCCACGAGTTTTATGTTATTTACTGTATTACTACTCTTAATACCTAAGTCATATCTATTCAACTAGACTTTTGCTTATTTCCTAGGACACTGATCAACATATGGATTAAAGCTTGCATAAAATAAGTAAACAATACAAAGGGTGGTTAGGGAGCACTTAATTTAATTGTGGTCTAATTTAATTATGGTCGACAGATAAAATTCTTTAGTTTTCTATTTTGCATTCAAGAATGAATAGGAATCGGAGAGAGAAATTTTATGTTAGGAACTGAAGAAATGATATCAGTTTTCTTGTCAACGTTCTCATGAGCTATTTTCCGTATATTTCTCAATTCCTCTTTTGTTTTTTCCTATGTCTTTAAATCACTGGAAACTTTAGTTGAAACTATGACTTCCTCTTTTCAAGTATACTTAGTATTGGGAATCTCTTAGTCTTATCAGAATGTGTAGCCATATGTCTCCAAGATCAGGCCTCTTTGAATGAAGCCAGGTCTCTGGATAGCATCTTCAGGGAGAAAGATACAGAAGGTTCCTGGACCTTCTGAACACAGGGAGCCCACATGATGGTGCAAGAAGGGCAGCCTCAAGGTGAGCATTCCCTTTCTCAGTTCCACAAAGAAAGGTCTATTAGAAGTGTGATGAGATGGTAAGAATCATCCGGAAAGAAGAGGTAGACAATGAACAGATCGAAGGGATAATGATTGAACCAATATGGTAGACCTGTGAAATAAAGAGCACTGCCTCCCCTTCTCAGAGACAGAAGCACTTGAAAATAAGAAACCAAATATGCATATTTTGGGGGTGGGGAGCTTATAGCAGATTTTATCAAAAGTTTAGGAAAACAGAGGAGATTTACACAGTGGAATGTAAATAGCTAAAAAATAGATTATTAGATATCTCTGTTTTTAAAAGTCCTTTGACTATTTTTGAAATTCAAATACCAGTATTCTTTCAAATTGCCCTGGCTTACATTTTTGTACTCCTTTCTCATTCTTTTCAGAAGGAAAAAATTCTTCCTTTTTCTAATGCATGAAAATTTGACTTTAGCTCCAACCCTTTGCATATCCATGAATAGTATTTTTTATTTTTATTAAAAATATCATATGGATACATAATAGTTGTACATACTTATGGGACACATGTGATGTTTCGATATATTTTGATAAGCATACCATGCATTATGATCATATCTCGTAATTGGGATATCCATCACCTGAAATGTAAATGATAAATATAATATTTATCATTTCTTTGTGTTGAGAGCATTCCAGATCTACTCTTCTAGTTATTTTGAAATACAATATAAATTATGGTTAACTATAGTTGCCCTATTGTGCTACCAAATGCTAGGTCTTATTTCTTCTATCTTACTATATTTTTGTACCCATTAGCCAACCCCTCTTTATCATTCCCTCCCCACTACACCCTTCCCAGCCTCTGGTAACCACCATTCTATTCACTACTCTCTTTGTGATCAGGTTTTTTTGTTTCGTTTTTAGCTGTCACATATGAATGAGAACATACTAACTTTGTCTTTCTGTGCCTGCCTAATTTCATTTAACATGTTGTCCTCCAGTTTCACCCATGTGTTGCAAATAACAGGATTTCATACTTTTTAACGGTAGAATAATATTCCATTGTGCATATATAACACATTTTCTTTATCCATTCATCTGTTCATGGACACTGAGGTTGATTCCGTATGTCGGCTATTGTGAATAGTGCTGCAGTAAATGCGGGAGTGCAGATATCTCTTTGATATACTGAAGAAACCAAATATTAACACAGAGATATGAGAAGTGGGAGACAAAAGTGATGTTTTGAGAAAGATAGGAAATCAACAGAAATGTAATATTTAAGAAGAAAGAATAAGGAAATGGAAATTACAGTCAGGGGAGGACGCATTTGCCCAAATTGTTTAGGGCTTCAGAGCTGCTACCTGGTTATTTATTTGGAGAGACTTTTCAAGCTCTCTTCTTGCTTGAAGTTTTTAATTACTCTGAAGTTCTTCATCCAGTTTCTTCATTGCTCTGAGCTTCCTGGGGATTCTGGCTCCCTGGCCCTCTGGTCATTACTTGCATTTGTTTTGCTGGTCTTGCAGAGAAAGGAGCCTGTTCGTGCTTGAGGCTCTGGTGTGTTGCTGTGATTTCCATGGCACTCCTCAGTGTTTGTTTCATTGTGAGCTGTGTGGGTAAGTTCTCCACTGACATGCGTTCCCTTGGTCTCTGCCCCTCAGTATTCTATGAAGATTCCCTGACGTATGTTCTCCTTTACTCTATTACTATGTCAGCTCTTACATGGAATGCCACACTTTCTTGATTTCTCCTTGTCTCTTTCCTGCTTTTCCTTTATCTTTTGATAACTGACTCTTGTAGATTTACTTTGCTTACTTTTATTAGCGTTTCTCTGAATCACAGCCTCACATATGCATGTCATGTCCTTGTAGCCATCATCTAAGACACCATCTTCCAGGACTGGGTCCACTAGTGATCTTGTGTTCTCTAGTCACAAAACCCCTCTAATGGAAGTCCAACTGTACTTGCTTTTATAGTGGTCATACTTTAGATTACAGTCTTTGATTCATGTTGGAGTCTTTCCCAATATAAGAGGAAAAAGTGTTCAAATGAAATAATGGAGATAAAGAGAATACAGTATTTCTTCCCTGTCCTATTTGCCTCCAAATACATATTCTCAAGTCCATTGTGTGAGAGGTCTCAAAGAACTTCTTGCTCTCTGATCCACAGTTTGGTCCTCTATTCACTGATCAGGTGATTAAAAATAGTTATTGAATAGTCTGGGAGGGAGTGAAAGTGACTTCCTATGGTGAACAGGTCATGGTTGCAGTTTCCTCAAAGATGTAAATAAATCTCATAGTGTTTAGTAAAACACAAATACTCATCACTAAAGTTAGAGTTTGGTTTTCTTTTCATAATGAAGTGCAAGAGGGAAGGGGGTTTAAGAATTAATGCATTAATTCAAGAAGAAACAGAAATTCAGAACCCAAAAACAAGGGCTATGAGAAAGATAGAAAGGTTTAACTGTACTGAGCTCAGTAGTAGAAGGACACAAAAGAAATGAGTGAAGAATCAGGTCATGACCTGAGAGAGAATAGGCCTTGTTCAATGTATACATCCATGAACATAAAGTTAATTTAAAATGTCTCCATAAATATTTAAAGTCTCCACTTGTTTGTTATTTACCCCATGTTTATCTGTGACTACCTACAGTTAGAAATATTTTGAAAACATCAAAATAACTTGTGTGCTTCCTTCATGCTTATTAAAATTAAGGAGAAGCAGACATCTAGTGAGTTGTTAAATATCTATTGATGACTTTGTGGCAGTTACTATTCTAGGCATTTGTGATTGATGTAGAAAACAAGTAGAATCTCAGCCCTAGAATATGGACCTTAAATTCTAGCAGGGAAAAGACCAAAAGTAAAGGTGCAGATATATAAACAAACAAATAAGGTAAATGAATACACGTAAGCAATAGTTCTGCATGGTCATAATTGGGATTGTGTAGAGAAAAGAGTGGGGGTTGGAGGTACACTGCATGGCACAGACATAGAGAACAAGGCTCTATAGCAAGAGATGGATGAACACTAATCCTTGCTCTTCCTTCACAGTGACTTATCATTTTACACATGGCAAAACTGACAAAAGGCTGTCTGAACTGCACATGTATCATTCAGGTGTAACCTGCTTCAGTGAAGGGACAAGGGTGACAGGTAAATCTTTACAATGCTCAACTAGACTTTCTCTTTTTTCAGAGAGGGATCAGGATTGAATTCAAGATTGGTATGTTCTATTGTGTGTGCTGTGTGCACGCGCTTTTATTAAAGTCTCTGCTTGGATATCTTCATGACTTTTCTAAACTTACATGTTAGTATTGGACTCCAGATATGCTCCCCCCAACAATTCTTTCTTCAGACTTCTTGATCTCAATAAATATTATCAACCTACATACATGTAATTTGCTCAAACCAACCCTGAAAATTATTCATAATAATTTTCACAATGTTTATATTCTTTTCACCTTCAAGTGCATAAAATTCTCTCTTTGATATCTAAGGTTCCCCATTATTAATACTCATCTTTATCCTAAATACCAGCGTTATTAATGGTCAGGATGACACTGTCCCTCTTCCCCAGATATAGTGCTGGTAACTTTGTATGTGGAGAGTTGGGAGAGTTGAATTTAGGATCATGGTCTGCTTCACACCATGCCTAGTGAAAAAGCCAAAAAGAAACAGTGTAGATGAATATAGTGGTCTTCATGGCCTTAATCCTTCCAAGTAAAGAAATGTAACCTAGGCAGATGTCAGACTTTTGCTATTTCAAGAGCTAACTAATTCATGCCTCTGTTTTCATGGCGAAACTTGTGAGAAGTAAAGAAAGGGCAGAAGCTTCTTTGTATTTCTCTGAGATGCTAGAATTTTCTCTTTTTTGGTATTTGGTGAGAACATGCATGGGATGCAAAGGGTGGTTTCTCCACTCTCCTTGACCTGTGGTTTTCTTATCACATGGGGTTTTTTTTGCTGGAATAATTGCAGAGCTGACTCTTTTGGGAAAAAAACTGTAATTCTATCAGGATAATCCTCCTCCCACTTACGCTGGACCACTCCTGCAACAACAACTATCATTTAAAAGAATATTTTCCTGGAAGCAGCCATAGGCACTTCAGCTTTTGCCTTCAGAGTGCTCTGAAATGGGACAGCGTTAGATATTATTTAGATTAACTCCACACCCATCTGGTATAAGAGACTGTAAATTATATATACAACCTAAAATTATGGCTAACCAGGCTGTTCAATACAACGAATCCAGGTTACAGATAAGTTTATATGATAAAATTATTTTATATAATGTCATATCAGCAAATGAAAGTGTTCAAATTTTAACGATGTTCTTTCAAATTATTATTATGGTAAAAAATAAAAGTAAAACTCCAAATGAAATTTCCATTTGATTAAAGTTAAAAAGTAATTGAAATTCACTTTCTATCTTCCCCAATTTTTTTTCCCACTCAGCTCAGTGTCAGTCAGTGTTGAGGTGTTCTGTGGCATGGGCAGAGTTTCTTCAATGGGCCTGTATTCTGCCCAGACCAGTTTTCTTTGGACTGTTTTGCTTGTCGACCCCCCACAAGGATTTTGAAAGAGTGTGTTTCCTCTTATACAATTTAATTTGACATCTAACTTCCTTCATCATACTATAGAAGCAGGGGCTTTAATTTCTGGAACACTGTAAATATTGAATTTAAAATCCAAAACTGTTATAGCTCTTCTAAAAATGTATTGATATCTACTTGTGTCTAAATATCATTACAAAGTTTTAACCCCTATTATCTATTAAAAAAAGAATAAATATATTTACTAGTCAGTTGTTTTATGTCATTCTCTATCCCCTTGAACTAATATTTACATCACACTTCCCCTATCTACTAAAATATGTAGATAAGTATGTTTAATATTTTAAGTTCCTGTGTACCACCAGGTTTAAGTGTCATAAAATTTGTTCTGGATTGACTTATTTTTACAATTATTAGCAGGACACAATATTCAAAACATCACAAATTTATTATACATTTTGATAAATCATTAGTAATAAAATAAAGCTATGCTGGAAGTCTACCTGTTAATGAGATGAATGGAGCTTTTAAACAATGCAATCAAATATATTAATAACTATAATGAGATAATTTTATTGCTAGGATGAGTTGGATTTCAGCATCAATTCTACTCGTATTTTTCAATTTAGTGATACAACCTGAAAAATCTTACTCACCTAAATAAGTAGATAGGGTATGGGATTGGTGGCTCATACCTCTAATTCTAGCACTTTGGGAGGCTCAGGTGGGAGAATTGTTTGAGGCCAGGGGTTTGAGACTACCCTGGGCAATTGTGAGACCAGTATCCACAAAAAAATTAGCTGAGCATGGTGGTGTGTGCCTATAGTCTCAGCTACTTGAGAGGCCGAGGCAGGAGGATCACTTGAACCCAGGAGTTGGAGGCTATACAGAACTATGATTTTGCAACTGCACTCCAGCTTGGCGACAGAGCCAGACCCTGTCAAAAACAAAACAAAAAAGAGTAGATAGGAATGGAAGGAGCTTTTTTAGACTTTCACACAATTTTTGGAATTCTTTCAGAATTATCTGCCTAAGATTATATAATAATCTATTATCAAAGATTATTTGTAATGGTCTGTTAACTAAGAATTTGATAAGGTTATTCTGCAATGTTGTTGAAAGTGAAGAATAAGAAATAGAATAATTTGCAAAAGATTTGTTATTTCTCAGTTAGTAGTCATTTGCTTTCTCAATTTCTGGGAAGGATACCCAAAAAGTCTTAATAAGGCTTATCAAATGATTATTATTTACATCTGTTATTATTTTTATACTTACAAAGCACTTTGATCAGCTTATTATTCTCAGAATGGATTGTGAAAATAAAATATGATTAATGTCAGTATGCCCTTTTGACAAACGCTTTTATTGGTCACAATATTTTTTGTCATCCTTGGAGCTGGAGATTTTACATATCGAACTTACAAAAAATGTTTGGCATATATAACTTAATTGGCAAAGTCAATCCCCACCACCAAAATAGTTAGATAAATTAAACTTTTAAAATTCAAGTCGTATGTTAATCAAAGTGTGTAATCATATGTTACACACTTTGAGGAATATTATAAAAAGCAATCATTAATAATTGACAGAATGCATAATTAAGATATATTTCCAAAAGCAATGTTCAAATGATATAGATATGGTTTATCTATTTTATTCATTTAATAACATTATAAAAGCAAGAATAAGTCTGTAGATTGTTTTTTTTAGTCACTTAATATATAATGATGTAACAACATAAAAAATGAATGAAATAGACAAATGGGACTACATCAAACTAAAAAGCTTCTGCATAACAAAGGAAATAATCAACTAGTGAAACAGCAGCCCATGGAATGGGAGAAAATATTTGCAAATCAGCATATATCCGATAAGGGTTAATATCTAGAATATATGAAGACCACATACAACTCAACAATAGCAAAACACAGAATCCAAGGCTCTGTGGCTTGCCCAGGATTGTTAAGCAAAGCTGGGTTTCCGGATTCATCTGCGTTAGTCATTTAAAACTCGAAGAGGACTTGATGCTTGCAATATATAAGGGGCATGAAATAACAGAAACAACCCCAAAACTCAATAGTGACTTTTTTTGCAAAAACAAAACAAAAACAGAAGAATTCTTCAGGTAAACCATAGTAAATACTAAGGACTTAATGTTAAATATATTTAAGATCAGTTCTATGGACCCAGATTATATAATTCAGGGAAAATAAAAACTTGAATTAAGAAGCCATCTTGAGAAATCAACCAGAGATCCTTGGAGTTTTATGTGTATAGAACATGGTTCTTTAATGTTATCTGTCTCATCTTGCACTTGTTTCTTTCACAAAACACAGAAAAAGTCTGGGGGTGTTGCCCAAGTAGTTGGAAGCCATTTGGTTCCAGCTGCTACCTCATTTCTACTGAAGTGGATGATTGGATTCAGAGTGAGCAGAACTGTGTTGAGATGGGAGCACATTTGGCTGTGATCAATACAGAAGCAGAGCAGGTACTTTTCCCCCCTCATTTTCACTTTTTCTTAAAGAAAATATTGTAGAAGATCATTTTTCATTTGAAAAATTTTAATTGTGAAAAAACACATAACAGTATTTATTTGTCTTAAACATTCTTAAGTGTTCAGTTCAGTAGTGTTTACTATATTCACATTGTTGTGCAAAGATCTCTAGAACTTTTTCATTTTTCAAAACTGGAATTATCTCTACCCATTGAACAATTACCAATTTCCCCATCGCTGAAGGCTGTGACATTCTTCTACTTTCTATTTCTGTGACTTTTACTATTTTAGATGCCTCATATAAGTGAAATCATGCAGTATTTGTCCTTTTGTGAATAACTTATTTAACTCAGCATGATGTCTTCAAGGTTCATCCATGTTGTAGTATGTGACAGGATATTCTTCCATTTTAAAGTTGAATAATATTTCATTGTATGCAATATTCCACATTTTCTTTTTGCTTCTTTTATTTGATTTCTTTTTTCCCAGATTTGTTGAGTATGTCTGAAAGATAAAAATTGTATATATTTAAGGCATACAATGTGATGATTTAATATACATCATGAAATGATTGTCACAATCAAGCTAATTAACATATCTATTACCTCAGATATTTAACTTTCTTCTTCTTCTTGTTTTTTTGTGGTGAGAACACTTAAGAAATTACATTTCCTTCCATTCATTTCTTTTTTTTTTTTTTAGGAGGTGAAATAATTTTATTTCACAGTTGTCTTTTAAACCACAAAGACACTATTTTCTTCGTATAAAAACATTAGCACAGATACCTATACTTTCTAGAAAATGATACATATACCCTCTGAAAGAAAAATGAATCCCATTATATGGCATCAATGAGGCTGCTTGGAAACAACTTACATCTGGACTGATTCCTAAACATACCATTCCACTACTCTGCAACTTTTGGTTCAAAGTATAGATTACTGTCATCAGTATGTGTTCCTGCATTCTTACATATTTGATAATGCACATATAGAATGGTTTATCACTTAATGTTCCATTGGCTCATCAGCCTTTTCTGCAGGTTCATCAGCAGGTTGAGCAGGCTGTGACTTTCTCTGTGGTCTTTCTTCTAGACCTTCCAGGAATGGAGACACATCATCATCATCATAGATTGTAAACTCCAAGTCTTTACCAACAATTCCAATGGAAACATTCTTTGTAGTTAGGTCCTGCTCTGCAGGAAGTGTCTCTCTTAGGGCACACAGACCATGTTTAATCAGTTCATTTAAATTGCACTCCATAAATTCAGACATATGTCTCTCCAAGTAAGTACGAGCTGATTGGGAACGGGCTCCAGTGGACATAGCTCGGCAGTCGAAGTAGTTAGCAGATGGACAGGTTTGGAAAATGTGAGGACCCATATCATCATAACCAGCAATAAGCAGCCCAACACCATACGGTCGGTCTCCGGCCATATCGTTGTGTTGGTATCTGGGTCTTGCTTCCAATTAGAGAGACAAGACGAGACACAGGAAGTGGTCTGTCAAATACAAATCTGGAATCCAAACATTCCTGGCGCATAAAATTACACAACAGTCTAGCATCAGCAGTAAGCCCCGCAATTGAGATACCAATATGGTTGTCAACATGGAGAATTTTTTTCTGATGAGCTGCAAGCTCTGACTGTGCCCTTTTCAAAGCTACCAACCCTGCATGGGTTTTTGACTTCAGACCAACTGTGGCTGAACCTTGTTTAACAGCTTCCATTGCATATTCAATTTGATGAATCCTGCCCGGAGGGCTCCACACAGTAACATCATTGTCATACTGGTTGCAAAACATGGTTCCGGCGCGGGCCTGGCTCTCATTTCTTGATTGTCATTTAGGTTGCTTCCACTTTATAGTTATTGTGAAGAATGCTGCAATAAATATGGATGTTCAAATATCTCTTGATATCAGAGATCCTGCTTTCAATTCTTTGGGATATATACTCACAAGTGGGATTTCTGGATCACGTGGTAATTCTATTTTTATATTTTTGAGGAACCACCATACTGTTTTCCATAGTGGCTGCACCATTTTACATTGGCACTGAGAGTGCTCAAGGGTTCCATTTCTCCAATACTTGCTATTTTCTGTTTTTGTTTTTGATTTTTGGATAGTGGCAATCCTAATGGGTGAGAGATGATATCTCGTTGTGGTTTTGATTTGCATTCCTTTAATGGTTAGTGATGTTGAGCATCATTTTGTATGCTTGTTTGCCATTTGTGTATCTTCTTTGGAGAAATGTCTATTCCAGTGCTTTGCCCGCTTTTTAATTAGGATCTATGTTTTGCTATTGTTGAGTTGTATGTGTTATTTTGTTTGTTTGTTTTTTTTTTTTAGACAGAGCCTTGCTTTGTTGCCCAGGCGAGAGTGAGTGCCATGGCATCAGCCTAGCTCACAGCAACCTCAAACTCCTGGGCTCAAGCAATCCTGCTGCCTTAGCCTCCTGAGTAGCTGGGACCACAGGCACGTGCCACCATGCCCGGCTAATTTTTTCTATATATATTACTTGGCCAATGAATTTCTTTCTATTTATAGTAGAGACGGGGTCTTGCTCTTGCTCAGGTTGGTTTTGAACTCCTGACCTCGAGCAATCCACCCTCCTCGGCCTCCCAGAGTGCTAGGATTACAGGTGTGAGCCACCGCGCCCAGCCTGTATGTGTTCTTCATATATTCTAGATATTAACCCTTATCAGATATATGCTGATTTGCAAATATTTTCTCCCATTCCATGGGCTGCTGTTTCACTAGTTGATTATTTCCTTTGTTATGCACAAACTTTTTAGTTTGATGTAGCCCCATTTGTCTATTTTTTCTTTTATTGCCTGTGCTTTTGGTATTATATCCAGTACATTGCCAATTTCAATGTCATGAATATTTTTTCTTATGTTTTCTTCTATGAGTTTTATAGTTTTAGGTCTCATGTTTAGGTCTTTGAAACATTTTGAGTTTATTTCAGTGTATGGTATAAGATAAGGGTCCACCTCCATTCTTTTGCATGTAAGGGTTCAAGTTCATTCTCTTGTTTGTGGATATCCAGTATTCCTAGCACCATTTGTTGAAAGACTATTCTTTCCCCATTGTGTGCTCTTAGCACCTGGTCAGAGATCATTTGGCTATATAAGTGAGGGTTTATTTCTGGACTGCCTATTCTGTTCTGCTGGTCCGTATGTCTGTCTTTATGATAATACCATACTGTTTTGATTTTTGCAGCTTTGGAATATACTTTGAAATCAGGAATTGTGAAGCATCCAACTTTGTTCTTTCTTTTTTTTTTTTTTTTTTTTTGAGGCAGAGTCTCACTCTGTTGCCCGGGCTAGAGTGTTGTGGTATCAGCATAGCCCACAGCAACCTCAAACTCCTGGGCTCAAGCAATCCTTCTGCCTCAGCCTCCTGAGTAGCTGGGACTACAGGCATGTGCCACCATACCCAGCTAATTTTTTCTATATATTTTTAGTTGTCAATCCAGCTAATTTCTTTCTTAGTAGAGACAGGATCTCGCTCTTGCTCAGGCTAGTCTTGAACACCTAACCTCGAGTGATCCTCCTGTCTCGGCCTCCCAGAGTGTTAGAATTACAGGCATGAGCCACCATGCCCGACCACCAACTTTGTTCTTTTCCAAGACTGTTTTGGCTATTCAGGGTCCCTTGAGATTCTATATAAATTTTAGAATTTTTTTCTATTTATACAAAATATGGCATTGGGATTTTGATAGGGATCACACTGAATCTGTAGTATGGACATTTTAACTTTATTAATCCTACCAGTCCATAAATATGAGATGTCTTTCCATATATTTGTGTCTTTTTTTATTTCCTTCATCAATGTTTTATAGTTTTTGGAGTACAAGTTTTTTGCCTCCTTGGTTAAGATTATTCCTAAGTACTAGTTCTTTTTGATGTCATTTTAAATGGGATTATTCTCTTAATTTTCCTTTCAGATTGTTTATTGTTAGTGTATAGAAATGCTACTGATTTTTGTATGTTGATTTTGTATACTGCAACTTTGCTAAATTTGTTTATTAGTTTAAAGAGTATTTTTAATTTAATCTTTAGGGTTCTCTCTATATTAGATTATGTCATCTGTGAACAGAGACAGTTTTATTTCTTACTTTCTGATATCACTTATCTCCAGTGAGAATGGCCTTTATCAAAAAGTCCTTAAACAAAAAATGTTGGCATGGAAGCTGGGAGATAGGAACACTCGTACACTGTTGGTGGGACTGCAAACTATACAACCTCTGTGGAAAGCAATATGGAGATACCTTAAAGAGATACAAGTAGATCTGCCATTTGATCCAACAGTTCCACTACTGGGCATCTACCCAAAAGAACAAGAGACATTCTGTAATAAAGACATCTTCACTCGAATGTTTATAGCAGCACAGTTCACAATTGCAAAGATATGATTTGCATGATTTTTATTTGTTTTCTTGCTTAATTATTCTGGCTAGGATTTCCAGGACTATGTTGAAAAGAAGTGACAAGTGGCTGGGTGCAGTGGCTCATGGTTGTTATCCCAGGACTTTGGGAGGCCAAGGTGGGAGGATCTCTTGAGGCCAGGAGTTTGAGAAAAGCCTGAGCAATATAGCGAGGACCCCACCTCTAAAAAAAAAAAAATAAGTCATGAAAATGGGCATCCTTGCTTTGTTCCAATCTTACTGGGAAAGCTTTCAGTTTTTCAACATTGAGAAGAATGTTAGCTGTAGACTTTTCATATACAGACTTTATTATGTTGAGTTACTTTTCTTCTTTTCCTTGTTTGCTGAGTGTTTTGTTAGGAAAGTATGTTGAATTTTGTCAAATGGTTTTTATGCATTAATTCAGATAGTCATTTCATTTCTGTCCTTCATTATGCTAATGTGGTTCATTACACTGATTTTCATATGTTGAACCACCCTTGCATTCCAGGAATAAATTCTACTTGGTCATTGTGTATAATCCTTTAAATATATTATTGAATTCAGTTTTGTTCTATTTTGTTGAGGA